TTTTTATCTGCATTTTGGTTACATGGGTGTGTTAACTTTGAGATAGTTCATTGGACCTGTATACTTACCATTTGTTACTATTTTGTATATTTTTGAATGTGTATTAATGTCAATTAAGAAAATTAAAAGCCGATGTGGCTGACCTGGATGAAAGTGAGAAAAGTGGGGAATGGTAAACTCCAAGATCAGGAAGCTAGAAAGGAGCCTTATCAACCTGAAGGAGGAATTTTGGTAATGTTTTAATATAATGGGAAGTCACTGGAGAATTTTGGGCAGCAGAAAACCTTAACTGAATTACACTTAATAAGCTTACTTGGCTGCTGTGTAGAGACTGGATTGTGGTAAGAACAGAAGCAAGAGTGACTAGTGCAGGCAGGAGGTAGTAGTGACTTTAACTAGGGTCATAACAGTGGCAATGTGAACAGTGACCCAGTCCAAAGTATATTTTGAAGTTAGAGCTGTGAAGACATGTTCATAGATTAGATCGGGAGATCAGCAAGAAAAAGGATGCCACTGAGGTTTTGGCCTGAGAAGCTGGGTAAGTGGTGGTGCTATTTACTGAGGGAACAGCACATTTAAGGAGATATCAAGAGATTTACTTTGGACGTATGAACATTGAGAAAAATATTAGACATTTCAAGTGGAGACATTAGGCAGCTAGAAATAAAAGTCTAGAGAAATCAGGATGGGGAAATAAGTTCAGTCTTTAATGATACAGTGCTTAAATTCCGGGAGCCCTTGGAAGAGGTCACCTAGGGAGCAAATGTAGAAAGAACAGAGTGCAAATGAAGTGGAGGGATGACATGTGATCATGGTGGGGAGGGTTAGGGTTAGGGTTGGATGTCAAGGAGAAGAGAAAGAACAACTAATGAGATAGAAGGAAAACCAAGAGAGTATGGAGTCTCAAAGTCAAATGAAGGGTTTCCTGAAGTAGGGAGACCCTACTGAGATAACCAGTTATATGAAATGAGATCTGACTAGTGGGTTTGGTAGGATGCAGGGAGGGTATTTGAGGAGAGTTAGGAATTAGAATGACATCTTACGTTTGGGGAATGAAGCTATACAGTATAACCATTAATACAATAAAATTTGAAGACTTTGAAGCCTTTTAAGTCTAGCAGGTTGTTGGTTAAAAAGTATGCAACAGTAAGTTTTGAAAGTTTCAACGGAGACTTCCTGTAAGCAACCTATAATGGATTCTTTTTTTTTTTTAAGATAAAAAAATTAGTTCTGAATCTGCCACGAAGGTGCTGCATCTCTTTCAGTGCTGATCAGCATTTATATTCTTAGTATCTCCAAGTGAGGCAGCTTGCATTTTCCCAGCCTTTCTCCTAATTGAACGGTTTTAAAAACTGGCTCTTCATGGTACTTGTATCAAGGATTTCTTATTTTGAAAGCTTGCCGTTAGTGCTTTTTAAAATCTTGAAGTCTTTGATTTCATTCACGTTAATACTATGGGTGAAATAAAATTATGAACGGAGTCAGTGAACACAGGATCTGTAGTTTCCATGTCAAAGACTACGAGGCTCATAACTTTCTTTCTCTGTTGATTTAAGATTATAAAGGCCCTCTGTAGAGAATTGGACTGTTAGGTGGTTCTCTTGTCAAGCAAGGAGGATTTCAGAAGATACAATGGGAGTGACTAGTCGGGGACAAGCAGTGTTAGCAGGAAAAGTCACACAAGGCAGCTTATATTGTGATGCTGAAGCACGACAGGATGTAGACATGGTTCTAATTAAAAATGTGGTGAGAGGCTTTTTTTTTTTTAATTGAAAAGAACATGGACTCAGATCCAGAAAAAAGAATGGAGCAGTTATTAGAAAAAATGCGTGGATCAAATGGAAATTGATAGACAAAACTTTCAGCATAGCGTGTCTTCCTGCAAAATTGAACTGCAAGTATGGACTTAAGGATTTTAAGTGGCATATTTGTTTTTCTCTCTCTCTCTGCTGCTTTTTGTACATTTGCTTTTTTCTCTGTGCTGTACAGGCTGTGTGCAGCCTTCTCCGTTTATTCGTCATCACTCCTTATAATTTCTGCTTTAACTTGGCTATCATGTCGTCTTCGGCTTAAATTTCAAATGACCTTTAAGCTTTGGCTGTCATCAACTCACAGCTGCCCACTGTATTTTGGTTTAAATACCTAAGAGTGAGAATCGTGTCTAATGCACTTTCCTTTCTCTCCTTTTGTTCCCTGGGCCTTGGAGTTCTGGTTTACCTCGACGTAAGCCCTGCCTGTGGTGCCCACCCCTAGTTCAGCCACTGCCCAGGGAAGGGCAAAGTGTTTGGGCAGAGAAGGTTCCTGTAGAGAAAGGGCAGTGATGGCGCAGACAGTGGCTTTCTCTAGTATGTCTTCCTTTCTTTAAAATTATATGATTAATTGAAATTGTAAAAGCTTGGAATTTTGGAGGCTTTGTGTTTCGTGGAATAAGCATGGCAAGCCTGGTGGGAGATGAAGTTACCAGTAGGCTGGGCCAAACTGCAGAGAGCGTTGCATGTCATGGAACAGAGTTTGAATTGTGTGTGTGTCTCAGATGAGTATCCATGTTTGTTCAAATATGTATTAGAGATATATAGGGAAAAAATCTGAAGGGTTATCAAATTAATAATAACTATTTCTCTGGAAAGAGGGAGGAGACTAGGATTGGGGTTGTGGTCAGATTTTACCTTAATATGTAAATATTTGATAAAGAGGGATATAGTCATTGCTGTTTGTGGAATTCAGAGTTAATTAAAAGAGGTAGGAGGCAGTGACCAGGGGAGTGTGGTTTGAAGCAGAGTCCGTCTGTGAGGTCTGTAGATCTACCTACTGTGCGGCCCCAGAGGGAGGCAGTTCTGAGCCCTAGGACTCCAAAGAACAGTCAGAAAACTGAGAACACAGTCCAGTCTAAGTTGATAGCAAGACATTCCTTAACATTAACAACTTTCAGATACAATGTGATTTTAAAAAACGGAGAATAGACAATGAAGCAAGGACTTCTAAAATAATAAATTGTTATTAAAAATGGTAATGCTCTCTTTTCATTAAATTTTGTAAGATTTCATAATGTTGAAATGTATACAATTGAGTTTGAGTCAGTAACGTCAGTTGACTATGTCATAATAGGACATGCATAACATGATATTTGCCTGTACAAGGAATATCAGACATTGTAGATTTAACTTATAAATGTTGACACCAAAAGATGTAGGTAGTAGCTAAAGAATTTTATTCATTTTCATGTTATTTATATGGTCTTCTAAAATTTAAGCTTAGCATATAGTCTGTAAAATGTATAAGAAATTGCATATGTTTCTTAGTGTTTTCTTAAGGTTTAAAAGTTCAAGAACTTTTATTTTTTGATCATAATTTTTAAAGATTTTTAAGTAATTTCTGTATCCAACGTGGGACTTGAACCCACAACCCCAAGATTAAGATCACATGCCCTACCGACTGAGCCAGCCAGACACCCGTGTCCTGTCTTTTTTTTTTTCTCTTTCTCTCTTTCTCTTTCTTTCTTTCTTTCTTTCTTTCTTTCTTTCTTTCTTTCTTTCTTTCTTTCTTTCTTTTTTGGATTTTGTTTTTTAAATTCTCTACACCTGATGTGGGAAAAGTTTCAAGAACTTTAAAATGGCTGAACTACGTATGAAAAAACTTGAAAGAAAAAAAAAACAACACTTGAAAGAGTTAAAAAATTGTAATGAAGGATTAGAAGAACCAGACAGAAATGCCCTTTCTATTTAGTTAATGCTTACGGAATTCTTAAGTGCCTGATGTTGTTCCAAATGCTTCACGTTTTAACTCATTTAATACTGTGCTGACAAAGATACAGCACACTGATTAAAAAGGATCAAGAATGAGAGGAACTAAAATAGTCTAACAGAAGTTCTGAATAATGAGAAAAGAATCTAACACAGGAAATATGTTATAGTGTGAGCACCGATAAAAACGGAATCCTTTGTTATCACATGTATACTTACTTTTATTTAGTACGTCTGCTTTTTCTTTTTTTTTTTTAAATATTTTTTTCTTTATTTATTTATGATAGTCACACAGAGAGAGAGAGAGAGGCAGAGACACAGGCAGAGGGAGAAGCAGGCTCCATGCACCGGGAGCCCGACGTGGGATTCGATCCCGGGTCTCCAGGATCGCGCCCTGGGCCAAAGGCAGGCGCGAAACCACTGCTCCACCCAGGGATCCCGTTTTTTGCTTTTTCAAATATATAAGTGACTGCCCTTTTCAGTGACATTCAACAAATTAGAGATACTTTCAGCCAAATCTTATTTTCTAAAACTTATGTTTAGGGATCCCTGGGTGGCTCAGTGGTTCAGCGCCTGCCTTTGGCCCAGGGCACGGTCCTGGAGTCCCGGGATCGACTCCCACATCAGGCTCCTGGCATGGAGTCTGCCTCTCTCTCTCTGTCTCTCATGAATAAATAAATAAATAAAATCTTTAAAAAAAAATAAAAAATGAAACTTATGTTTAGTAATTGGTTTTTTAAGAGGTATATAGTTGGCCCTGTTAAGTGTTACACTGAGAAAAATGATGTTACTACTTTTATGAACTATGTAATAAATGAAATGATGAAATATGTGAATAAATATGTTAATATTCTATTCAAAGCCACTGAAATGAGCTAGAATAGCTTCGTTACACTCTTCTGATGACTGGTTCCACTGATGACAACACTCAGGGGTTCTGGGAACAGTCCCTCTTCTATAATGCTGTATCGGATTTGAAATGACAGGGAATGGGGGAAGAGGACATGAAGCATAACACAAAATACTGATCGAACACATCTTAGCTAAAACAAGTCTATTCCAGATATCAGGCATACTCATATGTATTTTTGTCCAGTACTCCTGAAATGATATGTTTTAGGGTTTTTCTACAGTGTATCTCCTAAAAGAAATTATTTTAGAAATAAAGATAATTTATTTGGTTTACAATATTTGTGTGTATATGAGTTTGTTTATATTTTTTACAGTATTTTTAAACAACTCTTTGCCTTATTTTCCTAGGGAGTTGGTCTCTCAGTTCATGGGCAATTCCGAGTGGCTACCGAAAAATCTCTTTTTGCGATGCCAGAAACAGCAATAGGTAAAAAAGCCCTGAATTTTTCTCAGTCACTTTTAGAATTATCTTGAGATGCATTTCAGATTACAGTGCTGTTAAAGGAATTGATGGAATCTTGCTGAGATACAACAAAGAAATTAGAATAGGAAGATGCCTGAAGGTTATATTAGCTCAATAATTGTATCTGAAAACACAAAAGCAAGGATATGTAACTGGCAACAGTAGCACACTAGCAGTTAATTTTAGATAAAATATTATTAGGAGAAAATAGTCTTGTATTCTTTTTTTTTTAAGATTTTATTTATTCATGATAGTCACAGAGAGAGAGAGAGAGAGACAGAGACAAAGGCAGAGGGAGAAGCAGGCTCCATGCAGGGAGCCCGATGCGGGACCCGATCCCAGGTCTCCAGGATCGCGCCCTGGGCCAAGGCAGGCGCCAAACCACTGCGCCACCCAGGGATCCCAATAGTCTTGTATTCAGATCTGTGATCCATTTTTATTTTTTTTTTATTTTTAGAGAATGTGCCTGAGTGGGGGCGGGGAAGGGCAGAGAGGGGCAGAGAGAGAATCCCAAGCCAGCTCCATCCTCAGCTTGGAGTCTGATGCAGGGCTCAGTCTCACGACCTTGAGATCATGACCTGAGCCAAAATCAAGAGACACTTAACTGATTGAGCCACCTATGCCCCCTCATTTTGAAATGTTTATATATGATGTGAAATATGGATCAAATGTATAGATCAAATTTATTATTTTGCGTATTGAGATATAGTTGGTCACACACTACATTTTGAAAGAGCTGTTGTTTCTCCACTGATGGGTTTTGTATCTTTTTATGTGTTATATTGGTGTCAACACTTCACTGTCTTGATTGCTGTTGCTTTACAATAGGAATCAGGTAGCAATACACCTCCTATTTTATTGTTTTCTTCAAGATAAAGATCCTTTGTATTTCTGTGTGGATTTTAGAGTCAGCTTGTCAACTTCAACTAAAAAGCCTGCTAGGATTTTGACTAGGATTGTCTAAAATTTAAGGAGAATTGACAACAATAGAGAGTCTTAGGACCTTAGAGCAAGGAAGGTATCTCTCTCTCCACTTGTTTAGAGCATCTTTAATTTCTCTAAGTCAGGTTTTGTAGTTTTCAGTTTATAGGTTTTACATATCCTTTGTCAGATTTATCCTTAACTATTACATACTGTTTGTTACTATTGTAAGTAATATTAAAAAAAATTCAGTTCTGACTTTTAGTTACCTTATATAGAAATAGTTTATTCTTATTTTTTTAATGAAGCATAATTGACATGCAGTGTCTTAGTTTCAGGTGTGCGTCATAGTGATCTGATATTTTATACATCACAGAATGATTCTAACAAGAAGTCTAGTGGCCATCTGTCTCCATACAAAGTTATTATATTACTGACTATATTTCCTCTGCTGTAGATATCTGTGACGTCTTTATTTTATAAATGGAAGTTTGTGACTCTTAATCTCCGTCATTTTGCTTGCCTCCCAACCTCTCCCCACTGTGGTAACCAAAAGTTTGTTTCTTCTATGTGTTAGTCTGTTTCTTTTTTTTTTTTTTTTTAGATTGCACACATAAATCATACAGTATTAGTCTTTCTGTGATTTGTTTCACTTGGCATAATATCCCTAAGTTTATCCATACTGTTACAAATGGCAAGATTTCATTCTTTTTTATGGCAAAGTAATATCCCATTGGATATGTGTGTGTGTGTGTCTCCCACACCTTCTTTATCCATTCATCTCTTGATGGACACTTGGGTTGCTTCGTATCTTGGCTATTATTATAAATAATGCTGCAGCAAACATAGGGGTGCATGAATTGGTGTTTTTATTTTTATTTTTCTGATATATACCCAGAAGTGGAATTGCTGATTTCTAAGATTTTGAGGAACCTCCATATTTTCCGCAGTGGCTGTACCAATTTATGTTTCCACTAGCAGTACATGAGATTCCCTTTTGTCCACATCCTTGCCAATACTAGTTTTTGGCTTTCTGGTAATAGCCAGTCTGCAAGGTGTGAGGTAATATCTCATTGTGGTTTTAAAATTTTATTTTTTAAATTAAGTTTTAATTTTAATTCCAATATAATTGACATACAATGTATATAGGTATATAGTATATTGATTCGACACTTCCATATATCACCTAGTATTCCAGTACTCATCACAAGCATCCTCCTTAATCCTCGTCGGTTATTTCACCATCCCCCCATCCACCTCCTCTCTGGTAACTACCAGTTTCTTCTTTGTAGTTAAGAATCTGTTTCTTGGTTTGTCTCTCTTGCTTTTTTTCCTTTGCCCATTTGTTTCTTAAATTCCATATAGGAGAAAAATCATATGGTATTTATCTTTCTGCGACTTATTTTGCTTAGCATTATACTCTAGCTCCATTCACATCATTGTAAATGGCGAGATTTCGTTCTTTTTGATGACTGAATAATATCCGTGTGTGTGTGTGTGTGTGTGTGTGTGTGTGTGTGTGTGTGTGTGTGTATCATCTCTTCTTTATCCATTCCTGTATCGTTGAGCATTAGGACTGCCTTCACAATTTGGCTATTGTAAATAGTGCTGCTGTAAATGCAGGGGTGCATATATCCTATTGAATTAGTGTTTTTGTTATTTTGGAGGTTATTTTATTTTTTATACAGTTGTAAATGGATTTCTTTCTTTTTTTGGATTGTTTTCTTAATTTCTCTTTCTGATAGCTCATTTATTAGGATGTAGAAGCAGTTTATTTCTGCATGTTAATTTTGCATCGTGGCATTTTACTGAATTCATTTATTCTAACAATTTTTTGGTGGACTCTTCACTGTTTTCCATATAGTATCATGTTATCTGCAAGAGGTGACAGTTTTCTGTCTTCCTTTCCAATTTGGATGCCTTTTCTTTCCTATTGCCATGGATAGGACTTTTAGTACAATGTTGAATAAAAGCATCAAGAGCAGACATCCTTGTTTTGTTCTGATCTTGCACTTCAGGAATAAATCCCACGTGATTGTGGTGTATGATTATTTTACTGTATTGTTGAATTTAGTTTGCTAATACTTTAAGGATTTTTGCATCTATATTTATCAGGGATATTGGGCTGTAATTTTTGTTTTAGTGGTGGCTTTGTTTGCTTTCAATATTAGGGTAACAATAGGCTCATAAAATGAGTTTGAAAGTTATATTTTTTGGAGTAATTTGAGAAGGATAGGTATTAACTTTTCTTTAAATGTTTGAGAGAATTCACCTGTGAAGTCCTCTGGTTCGAGACTCTTGTTTTTTGGGAGTTTTTAAATGCTGAATCAATTTCATTTCTTGTAATTGGTTTATTCATATTTTTGTGATTAGTCTTGAAGGGTTGTGCATTTCTAGAAATTTATCTTGTTTTTTTCTAGGTTTTCCAATTTGTTGGCATATGATAATTGTTCATAGTAATCTGTTATGTACACAGTATGTACACAGTAATCTTTATTTCTGTGGTGTCAGTTGTTACTTTCATTTCTGATTTTATTTATTTGAGCCTTCTTTTTTTCTTGATGAGTCTGGCCATGGCTTTATCGATTTTGTTTGTCCAAAGAACAAAATTTTAGTTTCATTGATTTTTTTTAGTGCATTTCATTTATTTCTCCTCTGATATTTATTATTTTCTTTCTTCTGCTAACCTTGCCCTTTATTTTTTCTTAGTCTAGTTACTTTAGGTGTAAAGGTAGACTGTTTATTTGGGGATTTTTCTTTTTCTTTTCTTTTCTTTCTTTTTTTTTTTTTTTTTTTTTTTTTTTTAGGTAACCCTGTATCTCTATGAACATCCCTCTTAGTTCTGCTTTTGCTGCATTCCATAGATTTGTGAAGTTGTGTTTCCTTTCCTTTCCAATACTTTGTCTCAAAGTATTTTTTAAATTTCCTTTCTGATTTCTTCATTGACCCATTGGTTATTTAGTAACATGTTTAGTCTTTATGTGTTTGTGTTTTTTTCTTGTTTTCTTCCTGTAATTGATTTCAAGTTTCATACCATTAAGGCTTGTTATGGTCTAGTCACTTTGAATTTATTGGGACTTGTTTTGTGGCCTAACTTGTGATCTATTCTGAAAAATACTCCATGTACATTTTTAAAGAAACATTCTGTTTACACCTTTAAGTCCATTTGGTTTAATATGTTGATTTTCTGTGTGGATTATCTATCCATTGATGTAAGTGGTGTATTAATGTCCCCTACTATTTACTGTTACTGTATTACTGCCTTTATGTTTGTTAATATTTTTTTATATATTTAGAGAATTCTGTGTTAGGTGCATAAATATTTATACATGTTATATTCACTTCTTGGATTGACCTCTTTATCATTATGTAATGCTTTTCTTTGTCTTTTGTTACAGACTTTGTTTTAAAGTCTGTTTTGTCTTACATGACTATTACTACACAATGTTTCTCTTATTTTCCATTTGCATGGAATTTCATTTTCAGTCTGTGTGTGCCTTTAGATCTGAAGTGAGTCTTTAGTAGGCAGCATATAGATGGGTCTTAATTTTTTTTTATTCCCTCCAGCCACCTTATATCTTTTGATCGTAGCATTTGGTATTTACATTTAAAGTAATTATTAATAGGTAGTACTTATTGTCCTTTTGTTTTCTGGTTGTTTTTATGATTCTTCTCTGTTCCTTTCTTATTGGTGTATTCCCTGTGGTTTGATGGTTTTCTTTAGTATTATGTTTAGGTTTCTTTCTCCTCATTTTTTGTATATTTATTACGGGTTTTGGTTTGTGGTTACCATGAAGTTCACATACATCAACCTGTATATAGATAGCAGTCTGTTTTAAGCTGATAGTCACTTAAGTTCAAACATATTTAAAAGCCCTACATATTTACTCCTTCCCCTCCTTTTGATGTCATATTTTACATTTTTTAATTTTGTGTATCAGTTGATTATTTATTGTAGTTACAGTTGATTTTACTATTTTTGTCTTTTAATCTTCATACTAGCTTTTCAAATGGCTGATCCCACTGCCTTTACTATATATTTG